AGAAGAGAAATATTTTTATACTAGAAAAAGCAAAAATAATTCAAATCCAGACAGTATTGATTTAGCAGCATTCGACTGGAATGAAGATTGCGAAAAATTATCTAAAGAGGTATTAATTAAAATAGTAAAAGTTATGTTTTAATTTTCTGTAAAATTTACATGTTTTCTTATAGGAATTTCTGTCGGAACAAGAGCTTGAACAATTAAAAAATAATTGTCGCACGAAAGAAGAAAACTTTAGACAAAAGTTAGAGTCTCGATTACAAAAAAGTTTACCTCCACCACGACAAGTTACGCCACTATTAAAAATTCGTGTGATCGAAGAAGAGATAAATGCTACTTTATCAATTTGGTCTCCTAGTGAAGATGTTACGGATATTTTAAAGGAAGGAAATTATATATCAATTTGCAATGTTGTGCCCTCGGCAAGAAGGTACTAATTTTTTCATATTTAATTAATTATTTTAAATTACCATTAAATGTTGTATACTACATATTATGTATTGAAAAATAGAGGTAACGAGCTACAGTTGACTGCAAATCGAAATGCTTTATTTAATCAAATTAACGTCTTTAATACAAATTATCTTCGAAGAACATATACAGCATTATGTGATATAAGTAAGTCAACTTTTACTCCAGCTTATGGAGAATTTGATACAGTAGGAATTGTTGTTTCTATTGGAAGTGAACCATATGTAAGTTACTCGTATATACACATTGTACACTAAAATAATTTTAGAAAAATAATAACTGTTATTTGTTTCGAATGTTACAGGGTATGAAAAATTTTCAAGCTGTATATTTAGCATATCCATACACATGTTCTCAGTCTTCATATTTGTCAATATTGTTCTGGCATGGGATATCCTCTTATGGGTATACAGAAATTTTGACCATAGGATCTTTCGTTGCTTGTAACAATTTAGAATGGCGACGATCTACATCATGGAATATACCAATGGCATATTGCACAGAACGAAGTACTTTTACACGAAATCCTCGACAGAGTCATCTTCAAAAACCTTTCGACGATTTAACACGTTTGATAACGGTAAATATTTGATAAAAATTAAAAAAGCGACGATGTGATCGATTTATAATTTTACAGTATTATAATGCAATGATTATATTTTTAAAGGATGCTAGTGCATATATAGGTACATGTTCAACAGAAATTTCGGAAGAAATACAGAAGAAATCGATGACAAGAATGTCAGATCAGTATATGCTGGATAGAAATAATTTCGATAAAATTTCACTGAATGAAAATTCTAATTCTGACAGACAGTTCAGTAATTGTACATCTCAGGAATGTCCAGGAAGAAGTTTACTCAGTAACCACCCAGCAAAATCTACTGCTATACAAAAGCGACTTGAAAAGTTACAGTGTTATGGTGAACCATCTAGTCTGTCTCCGATTGTGCTTAATAATAGCTCCAAGCGAGTGTCATTAGATTTTCAGTCCCCTCTCAAATCAACAGATAAAAAACTTGCGAAAAGTCATATATCGCTAAATGCAAAATTAATGCAAAATCACAGATGATAGTATGCTTTAAATTCTACCTTATTTAATGTATTATTTAATGTAGCGTTTATATTATTTTCTATTTTATTTAATATATTGCAATGCATTTTTTGTCTAATAAATTATTTAAATTTTCAAACGTAGAGGCTGAATATTTCGATATTTTTTAAGAACTTGATAATGACTCTAGTTTTCAATAATTGTCAATAAAATGCATTTAATATTTCTCACAATAAAACAGATTTTGTTAAATATGTATAGTTATAGAGTAAAACTAAATATTAATAAAGTTACGAAAAATGAATTGTATATTAGAAGAGTGTAAAATAATTTATATTAATAATTGTATTAATATTGTTTGATGGTTATTTTCTGTGTGTTTAGAACATGATAAGTGAGAAACAACATAAAAAGAAAAAATTCTTTAACCTTTTGTTTTTACAGTTACAATATAAAGCACTCCGGATTTTGTAATATTATTTAACGTATGTGTGAATTATTCTATGCCTTGTAACTGATTTTAAATAAATATTCATATTTTTATATACATTCTAATGCTATAGAATAACTTTGTAAACTGATACCTTTAGTATTATTTTAACTATATTTTTATGTACAAGAACCAATACATTACAGTAAACTCCCTCTTCTCTGGCCTCCGCTTTAAGCGGCCAATAGTTTCCGTAGCAATAGATAGTGATTTTTCTATAGCAGTAATAGACTTCGACGTAAGACAATTGACAACCGTTGCACATCAAACTTATCGTCAGCCATATCGAAGCTTGTTATTGATTTCTTTATATAAATAAATGTTCAATAAACATTATTTCTTTATATGTTTTTAAATTATATTAATGATATGTTATATTTAGATTTTATGTGTGAATAATAAATACTATATGCATATACATATATGTATTTTTTATTTTATTTACAACCTATAAGTGATATTGTCGGATTATTCCAGAGGTCCGGTCCCATACAGGCCGATTAAGAGGGAGTCGACTGTAGTAAAATTTAATCAGAAAAATGATTTTACATCTTACAATAACTAACATATTTTTTGTTAATAGGTTAGAAGCATTTATATTCAAATAATATTACATGTAAATATGTGCAAACGTCATATATCGTAATTTCTTTCAGTCGGTTTTTCTTTTCCCGCTTTTGCTAAACAGTTCCACCAACTATTTTTTAATGCATCTAAAAGTTTTCATAAAAAATGTAGTATAAAATAAATACTTATCAATTAGTTTCTCATATTATTTTACTTTTTAAAGCAAGTAGTTAATCCATTTCAAACAGTAGAAACGTATTGTATAACCACTTTGTATATTAAATTTATAGAGGCATTTATCGTTTTAGTTATTGGCCAATAGTGAATACACGATTCAGAACTAGCATGCAGGAGATTGAATAAAATATAAATTGTGGGACGAATCATAAATTTCAGCTGATCAAGTGTTATCTGATGGTAAAGTCGTGTTTTTTGCATAGTCCAAGGAAATTAGTAAATCATTTATGACATGATGGCGGTAGAATGATTCAAATTAAAGGATTAAACCAATGATGCTTTTTACGAAAATAATCAATAAAATTATTGTGAACTGTGTACGTTTCGTGTAATAAGTGCGTCGAAAAAGTTGTTAAATAAATGATTCAAAGTAACTTCAGTTGATTAAAGCTATGTTTGAAGAAGCATGAAATGCATAAAAGAAAACTTAAACGCAACACGTATGTTTTGTAACAATAATTTTCTTTATTTTATTTTGATATTTATACATATATGTAGTTTCAAAATTACTTTTATGTCAAGATATAATTTGTTATTTAAATTTAACATAGATTAACACAAAGTGTGAAAACGCCTGAAAACTCATCAAGGTTGAGAGATTATCAAGACAATCAAAATGAATCAAGTGATTATTTCCAATTGCCAAGTTTACAAAAGAAGAAAACTTGGAAAGATGTTGATGACAATGCATCAACTTGGGATCAAAATAGTGCAGCAACAGATATATTTTGTTCATCAGAAATTGAAAATATTGCAACAAAGAAAATTATACAGCAATGGGAAGCTGTTGAAAATACTCTTTACGAAGATGGTGAACAAGTGACCCAACCAGCTATTTTAGAAGAATGTATACAGTGGAGAACACAAATACCCCATTTAAGAGTAACAGGAAAAAATCCATTTCTTTCAACTAAAACTAATCATGAAGATGTTAGTATAAATTGTAATCAAATGAGAAATAGTTCTGAGCCTCAAAATGAAGATGCATTTTCAGAATATAGTCTTTCATTAAAGGTAAACAGTATTTTATATACCTTTAATATAGGCTAATTGAGGTAAAAACAACAGCATTGAATATTATAAATTTTTCTTGTTGTTATAAATAGATCAATTGTAATGAATATATTATGAATTAAGTGAAAAATTTTATTAATTAAAAATTTCAAGAATGTATCTTATTCAATATGGATGTCTTTTTGAAATTGATTACAGAATGTAATTTATTATTTATAGGATAAAAATAGTTCATCCAAGCATAAATTACAAAACAACCCAGAAGATGAAATATTTGATGTTCTTTATGAACATGTAATATCTGAACTATTTCCAAACAAAGAAAATGAAATTGATTCATTAGGTGATAGCTTTAATGATGTTTTACAAATACGTATGGCACCCATTCACAGTAATAAAAGCTCTGCAAAAAGTACAAAGTTAAATTGGTTTGAAGAAGCAAATTCTCTTGAAAATAGGTTTTCAAATAACAGTGATAAAGCAATAGAAAGTCGTACTATAATAAAAAGGGAAAGTGCACAAATTCAAAAGTATGTATACAGAATACTATACAATGAAAAATTTCTATAAATGGATGACCTTCACAATTTATTTGTTTGTAGAAAATATGATAATGTTGCACATAATAACAGAAGAAGTGAGAAGGATGAATATACTATGTTAGATAAGCTTTTTAGGCCACACACTAGCAGAAATAAGCTTGGGACTGTTTTTAATGAAAAGATTGTAGTTAGTCCTGTGCCTTATGTTTTATCAACCAGGGAAAGTTTTTCTACTGTAAAAACTACTCCAATCAAGTTCATGGCACAGTCTCTAGAAGTTTCTACATTTCAAGGCATGTCATATTTTTTTTTAACATTGTGTATTACATATGGAATGTTTAAAATATTTCTAGCATTAATATTATTTTGTATTAGGTTCAAGTAGAGGTATTAATTATTTTAAAAAATCCGGAAAAAAATCACCTTCGGCAAAAATTTCAAATTACCAATCTGCTTGGCATGCTCCTGTTTCTTCTGCTGTGTGGCCAAAAAATATAAAGCTTGCTCCTCTAGATACTTCACGACTTCCTAGTAGCAAGAATAGGTGTGTAGAAAACATTAACATCTTTTTAATCTATAAAGAATATTTCTTATACGATTTTTATAATTTTAGATTTTTGACATCTTCAGTACCATTACCTCGTAACAGAAAACCTTTAAGTCCTATTTCTCGACCCACTCTGCCTGTCTCTGCACAAACTGTTCATAATAATAATAATGAAGGTTTAGAAATTCAAGGGAGACACATAGTTTCTGGCCAATCTTCTAAGTTAAACACACTTACTACTGGTTTGAAAAATGCTGGAGGTGCTCAGAGCAAAAGAAGGAAAAGTCAACAAAAAATAAAGTCATAATTAATTAATTATTACTAATTTTGTCAGTTAGAAATATCGATTTTAAAAATTATATAAAATTATTT